CCTAATAGTCCCCAGCATTCTATCTCTCCTCCTAATCCGTCCACTGACGCCTCCCCAGAGAAAGAGAGAGGAACCTGAGTCTCAGCTGGACACAGTGCCCTATTCTATGCCATTGGGCCAGCCTCCATGGCCACTGGCGCACTATCAGATGCATCCAGCATATGAGGCAATTCCACAAGCGCATGTCGATCAATCCCATGCACAGTATGCTCATCGGATAGACATTTGTCCCGATCAGTGCTTCTCTAACCTGCCGGCTGCAGATGTTCAACTGGCTGCCTCCTGCAGTCTGGTACCAGCATTGCGCCAAAAACCTCCATCCCAACAACCTTTTGTGTCGAAGAAGCCTTATTACTCAGAGGCATGCAGCCATCATATGATGCTTCATCAACCACCGGTGAAAATCAGGGCAGTTGAGAAACACACTTCCACCCGCAAAGCATTCGCAGCCCCTGTGACTACATATTTTCCACCTCAAAATGATAAAACTCACTCCTCTCACTCGGCATCCCCAGCTTTGATTTACTCTACATACCTACCTATGCGTCCACCAATTCGGCCTCAGCCACCTTCGACACCATAGACACTGGTTCCAATATACAACCCTCAATATCCATCCTGGTCCATGGCGCCCCACTTCGATCTTTCTTAGTTGCTAGCCCTCAACAGTGGCACCAATCTAGACACAAAGTCCGTCAATATCAAGACGCAGACGTCAACACTGAGACCCCATGTAGTTTACCTCCATCCATGGATGCACCTTTGACATCGATAACAGTCAACAACTCTCGACGTCGACAAATGTCCATGGACATGCCACACTCTTCAGAGCAGAACACCATCAACATTACTATCATCAACATCCTCTCAACACTGAGGTCAATCGACGTTCTATTGACTCTATGCTTGATCCTGAGGGCTCAGAACATGGTTCTAGACAGCAAACTCCATCTGTGCTTCTCAAATCACCAGATTCTGACCTCGCAGATGTAGATCCTCCATCCCCAGCAGAGGATTTCCAAACTTACACTCAACTCATGATCCGCATGGCTAATTCATTGGATCTTCAAATCCATCACCCCACAATTGAACTGGCGGATCACGTTTATGATCCTATTTCTAAGAACACAACTATTCCAGTCCATATTTCCATGCTACCATCTCTTCTTAGCACTGCTCAGTGATCTCGGACTAAACCAGCCTCCTCTCACTCAATCTCGAAAAGAATCAGTAATCTCTATCAGATATATGACCCAGGAGCACTTTTTCTCCAGAAACAGCCGACCCAAAATTCGATATTTGTCGAGGCCTCACAATCACAATCTTGACACCGACAGTCCCTTATCCCACCTAACAAAGACAGTTGAAGAATCGACTCTATGGGCATGTGGCTTTACTCATCAGCGGCTTTTACTATGAGGGTAGCTAACTACCAAGGAGCAATGGGGGCATATCAATGCTTCCTTTGGGATAACATGGCCACTTTTCTTGACTTGTTACCAGAAGACAAAAAAGTATTAGCACTAACCTTCCAACAGGAGGGCCTCTCTGTCACCAAACAGCAGATGTTCTCTGCCAAACATACAGTAGACACCACGGCTAAATCCATGGCTACCTCTGTTACGCTCAGACGTTTCTCCTGGCTAAGGACAGCCGGCCTTTTGGAAGATGTCTGGTCTTTCTCTCTCATCTAATAGAGTCTATCTCTTGGCAATCATCTCTTACCAACCACTGACCTCTCCATCAGCTCGATTTTTCAGACATCCCATGCTCAAGCACTTTCTTAAGGGATTGTCACATGCTTACCCAGACGTTCACCTGCCCTCTCCACCAAGGTCCTTGACCTTAGTCTTGTGACAACTCATGAAGCCTCCGTTCGAACCGCTAGCCTCAGCGGATCTCAATCTACTTTCCTTCAAAATGGCCTTTCTCGTTGCAATTACTTTAGCTTGCCGAGCAAGCAACCTTGCGGCCCTACGCCATGGTTACCATTATATACAATTATATCCTGTTAAAAGTAAAGCTGTTCCTCAATGTCTCCTTCCTCCCTAAAATGGTGTCTCAGTTTCATATCTCTCAATCAGTAGTCTTCCTATCTTTCTTTCCATCACCATCCACAACCCCCAAACAACTTCTTCATACTTTGGATGTCACGAGGGCCCTCTCCTTTTATTTGTCGCGTATGCAACCCTTTCAGTGTTCCTCACGCCTTTTTGTCAGTCATCAAATTCCTAACAAAGGCCTACAAGTCACCTCCCAGACGATTTCTCGTTGGGTTGCCTCTACTATTCCGCTTGCATACCAGCTTGCTCGACAGCTGGTCCCTGAAGCTATTCACCCTCATTCCATCAAGGCGGTGGCGGCCTCTACAGCATTCCTATGTGGTGTGCCTGTCCCTGACATCTGTGCCTCATCTACGTGAGCACAATCCACCTATCTTCATCTGACATTATAGACTAGATGTTTGACAGAAGTCTGATGCAGCATTCGGAGGTGCTGTTTTGTCTCCCGCCTTGGCGTGACACCCTGCCTCCAGGTAAGACAGCTTGCTAGTCACCCACAGTGTGATTCACAGAGGCCACGAAGAAGAATGGCAGGTTGCTCACCTGTAGTTGTAGTTCTTCGAGTGGACCTCTGTGATTCACACATCCCACCTGACCTCCCCTCTGTCATGCCATACAATATTTTTTCATTGCAGCTGTTGAGAGAGTCCTGGCGCCAAGGTACTTATACTGAGGGGGAGGGGTCTAGTCTAATGTTTTTTGTTACCGCAGAAGCTCTAGAATATTCTGAAGAGGCTCCGTGCAGGTGCAGATCACCCACAGTGTGAATCACAGAGGTCCACTCGAAGAACTACAATTACAGGTGAGTAACCTGCCGATATCTCCGCTACTCTGAAACTCTGAGAATTGGCAAAAAGTGGCCTTCGTTTCCTTGTATATCTTTAACAATTGAAAGTACTTCTTGGGAGAAGAACCCCCCTTTTAACCCATCTCTCTTGTTGTGTCATGCACCCACTTGAATCTTCTTTAAACAGATACACCCTCTATTTGCATGTGTTGCATCTGCTTCACAGAACAGAAGCAGTAACTTTTTCTAGTATCAGATGCCAACCTTTTTTTACACTGCTCCTGGTACTCTGAACTAGTGAGAGAATGTATTGTGTACATAGGGTCTTTGTGAAGGAAGCTACTTGTACTGATCTTGAGAGCCCAATCCAGTAGGAGATGTCTAGGGTGTTTCTGGTTTACCACTGTTTGACTACACTAACTTCTCTTTTCAGAGTGAAAAGCTCTTGTTGTATGACACTGTTCAGAGTGAACTAGAAGAGAAAATCAGACGACTGGAAGAAGACCGACATAGCATTGACATTACCTCAGGTAACTAAGAGCTGGTAGAAGCTGAATAAATAGAAGGCTGTTCAAACAAACAAATTGCCAGGAAAGGAGTCTGTTCTTAGAAGGTGGAAATTAACCACAACATGCTGTTGGCATTATTAAGTTTCCTCCTTTAGATTTATCCTCTGCACACATTCTTTCCATTGTGACTTTGGTCAACCACCTCATGTTTCTCAGCAATGAAACCCTGAGTGTGTCAGTGGCGATACTGCAGGAACGTTTTCTGTTGACATTTGCACAAAAATTCCCCACATTGCAACTGAACACCCCTGCAGCTGACCTTATTGGGGGCAGAAGGGTGGGCAGGCTGGGAAGAGCTCACTTATTGTGACAGTACTACTGTTATTGAAAGAACTGTATCAGAGCTTTTCTTTAACTTCTGCCTTAGGTGGCTTGTTTTTTTGTTTCTCCTGAGTGGTAAGGTAAAATCCTGATTCCCCAACAAGCATATGTCCTCCATTGACAGCTGCCCTCCCCCCCCCCGACAAACTGTTTTACCTCTAAAATTTTGATCCCAGTTCTGGAGTGTCTGTGAAATCCCACCACTGATTTGAATGGGGGGGGGCGTGGCATCATCTCAGCCCTGCTTTCTACCAGGTGGCCCAAAAAGTAACTTTAGGCCATGATAACTTTGGCCGGTCTATAGTACCTATTCTGCAACCAAAACCAAAACACACTTACATGACCTACTTGTAATTTTGTGAGATTTCTGCCAATGTAGTGGACAATATTGACAGGACTCGTGAAAAAGGACATCACCAAGAAAACTTGTCTTTGGGGCAAGATTTGTCTTCATTTTTTATGGCAAGAATGGGCAAGGTCTGGAGGCTAATTTTCAGGCCCTGGAACCTGCTGGGGGCCACACCAGCCACTCAGACAAAAGGTATGGGAGGGACCCCGAGCTGCAAAAATATCTCTTGAAAGCTACATGTGGCCCCAGGCAGTCAGGTGCCTTCTCCTTACGTGTGGGATGGCCTCTAACCCACAGATACAGTAAGCAGTGGTGTCGTGCTTCCTTCCAGCCTGCCCCTTCTTCTGTCTCAGCCAAGATGCTGTCATTGGGCAAACTGGAGCAGAGTCAGGCCAGAGGGAATCCTCACTCCTGGCTTGTCATCCTGTCTGATGTCACTAAGCACCTCGATGCTAAGCAGTTCTTTTGTAATGGTACTGAGTTTGCTGGTATTGACTCTGGGGTAGGGGCATTACACTGGGCACTCCATAAACAAGTGGGGGAACACCCTTGTCTCCCGCCATTTGAACACACTGGCCCTTCATCTTGCAAAGTCCTTGTGCTCTAGGGAAAGGTAGAAGAGGCGCAGTAGTAGATGTTAGGTGGAGTATGACCTCAGAATAGGAGAGATGTGATAACAAACACATCTTGCATGGAAAACGTTCCATTTGAAACATCTCCTACTAGGGCTGAGGAAGAGGCTTGTCCAAAACTGTAGAAAACTGCTGACAATTCTGGCAACATGGTGTAATATATGTGAAAATTAGCCCAAACTAACTGCTTTTTCTCTCCACATCACTGGTCTCTTCCCGTTTTATTGCCTGATGCCATAAATTAAAAACTGTATAATTTAATGTAGTGACAATTGTAGTTCCCAAAAAACGCAGAAGGTAAGGTATACATTTGCTTGTTAAAACTGTATAGAGCTGTCTTCCCTGGTGAGAAACCAGAAGTCGGGTAGCATCTTTAACTCTAACGAGTTTTTGTTTTTCATAAACTTTCGTATATCCAAGCACACTTTCAGATTAATGCTGCTGCAGAAAACATTTTTTTTTAACAGCAGTGTTTTCTGTTTCTTTAGAGTTATGGAATGATGAACTTCAGTCTAGGAAAAAAAGGAAGGATCCGTTTAGCCCAGATAAGAAGAAGCCTGTAGTTGTATCAGATATCCTTTTATGGTCACTATGTGGGTATAATTATTTGCCGAAGTGCAGTGCTTTTCGTTGTTACTTTGTAAAACTTCCGTTAAGAAACACACAACAACAGTCTGACGCCTACATGAGAAGCATGAGCACCTCTACGATTGCCATGTGGTTTTATTTTTTTAAAAAATATGACATCTGGTGTGGTTATAATATCACAGTGACAGTGCTGAAAGCATTTAAAAGTTGTCATATGAAGTGTTAAAGAGAACATAAGATTGGTGCTACATCATTTTCCAGTGTATACACTACTATCCGTGCACTTCACTTTGTTTCCTTTGAAAGCTAAGAGTTGTAGCTCTGTTGGCAATCACTGCAGTTTGCAATATGCCTTTTGGATACACATGAGTCCTTTATAATAGTGGCACAACAATAACAGCAACTTTTAAGTATTTAGAACAGGAAAGATACATGGTCACAAATTTAACCCTGAAAATAAAACAGAGTAACACTATTTTCCCCCCTGGCTTTCCCCTTTTCTATTGTCTTAAATGTAAAACTAACTTGATACTACTAACAAGCAACTACTTACATATACGTACTTAGGAGTCAATACTCTTCATCACAATTGGATTTACTCCTAAATAAAACATGTATACAACGGAGTTACAAATTCTTATGATAGAACTCTGAACTTTCGTTTAATAGTGGTTTTGTTTCCCTTTCAGCTTCTTTGAGCTATGCAGTATAGTCTTTTGATTTTTATTCCTGATTTTTCTTTTCAGTTTTATTTAAAGGCAGCTTTTAGTGCTATACAAGAACACATCAGAAGAGAAAAGGGATCAGGCAGTCCGTGAAGCCTGAGAAATCTCCCATTGACCAGGAACCATTTATTTCATGCCAATGGTGCCTTCTAAATCAGCTGTTTTTATTGTATTCTCTACTTTTGGCCCAGTGGCATTCTGTGAAATCCCTGCATGATTTATTTCTCCACGTAGACTGTCTTAAATTTGCTGAGAGCACATAAAAGCCCTCTTACTACCTCAATTTTTGTATGTCCAAGGTGGGTAAATATGTTGGGGTGAAGGACTGCTTCAGCAGCTGCGGAACCATTCCAGGCATTACAGAGGTGGACTGAGTTAGTGTCAGCAAGATGTGGACTTGGCCATTATAACATGCACACACCCCTGCAAGGGTTGCTGGGGAAGGGAAAGGGGGCAGTTAAAATTGCCTCCCTTACCCCTGACCATTCAGAAAGCTAAGATAATTGTTTTTCTGCTGTTGATGGTTGGTCAGTTGGGCATTAGGAAAAAAAAGTGCTCAGTGTTTCACAAGACTCTGGGCTACATGCAAACCTTGGGTTGCTCCTGTGTGCTGTTCATTGGCTACTATAAATTGGTGTTTTATGAACTGATATACCCACATCTTCTCTTCCTGTAAACTTCCTGAAAATCTATGTCACAGTATATAGGTTGCTGCAAGTCTTGTGCTTGAAGCCTGTCTTAGTACCGCTTTGATTTCATTACACTTACCTAGAGTGGTCTGCTAAAACTTTTAATTTAACCTAGTTTAGAGATGTGCAAGTCCCTTAACGTATGAACGACCCTATATAGTGTATATGCTGCAAGACCTTGATATACTTGAAGATTGGACAACAATACGGAAGGTATGGTTGAATGTCAATGTATATGTGTTTTTCAGGGGGAAGGACTGATGTGTGCAGACGTGGCTTATATATGGAAGTAGAATGGTGGGCACTATCTTGTCCTTTACTTTAGGCAGCAAAAGGTCTTGAGCCAGCTCTTTGGAGGACAGCTGCATATATTTAACTTTGCAGAGAGGGAAAAATGATCTGCTCTTGAATCACATCCCTCCCCCCACCCCACAATCACGGAAAAGTAAGTTTTCCACATTTCACAGGTGATAGTGAGGCGAGGGGATAGATCAATCAAAACCAATAATGGACAGAGGACTTTATTTTTGTTTGTATGATACGTTAAGATATATCATCCAAAACAGTCTTGCATAATTGCATAAATGGTGTAGCAGTTGAAGGCAAATTGCCCCAAGAAATCACTGTAGACGTTATCAGTTGCCCGTTGAATTGTACAACTCAGTGTGCCACTGGTAATGTCTACAATGATTTCTTAACTTAGGGCAGTTCACTTCCAAAACTTACATCATATGTGTTAACACAGTGTAGGGAGGTAAAAGGATTTGGGTTATCATGTACTATAATTTCCATATAGCATTGGTTGTTTTTACTAGGATTCACAAGTGTAGTTTTTTTTTTACAACTACAAGTGTACATTTCGTGTTATAAGTGAGATGCATGGGAGTTGTTACAGGTTTCTGCCAGCCATGTAACCTCTTAATAACATAAATTTATAAATAACTAATCATTTGGTTGTACAGTTCCTGGTCATCATGTATGAGGTTTTATCCACAATGATCATTGTCATTGTTTAGTCGTTTAGTTGTGTCTGACTCTTCGTGACCCCATGGACCAGAGCACGCCAGGCCCTCCTGTCTTCCACTGCCTCCCGGAGTTGTGTCAAATTCATCTTGGTTGCTTCAATGACACTGTCCAACCATCTCATCCTCTGTCGCCACCTTCTCTTGCCTTCACACTTTCCCAACAATGATCATAGCTGCTGACAATTCCTGACTGAAGAAGCCTTGGCAACATTCGTTTAGGAAAAACATACATAGAAATTAGCTCAACAATATATGAAAATATATAAAAGGTCAGAAAAAAACAGGGGCTTTTCCAGGGAGTCTTCTCTTCTCATGAGATGGCCAAAGTATTGGAGCCTCAACTTCAGGATCTGTCCTTCCAGTGAGCACTCAGGGTTGATTTCCTTTAGAATGTTTGTTCTCTTTGCAGTCCAGGGGACTCTCAAGAGCCTCCTCCAGCACCACAATTCAAAAGCATCAATTCTTCGGCAATCAGCCTTCTTTATGGTCCAGAAAGTAGCTACTTGTCACTAAACCTGTTTATAAAGAAACAGCTGGGTGCATTCATGGAGGCGTCATATTTAACTTTGTGCAATTTAGTATGGTATGTTCCGGAAATAGGATGTACCATATTCTATTGTATCAAAGTAAGCAAATATTTTTAGAAGCCAGTTACACAATTACCGCAACAGTTCTGTATAGAGAAACAAAATTGTATCTCTTTGTGTAGACATTTTGTTTCATTTAGATATTTGTCTTGGATTTACAATGACTTAAGAGACTGTTTAATGTGCTTCTGTGTATCTTCTCATAGGAGCTGAAAGAATGATCAATTTCTCTCCCATGATTTTGCATTACAGGCAATGGCTACACTGGGACCACACAGAGTGAAAACAGAACGTAAGTATACTATGCCCAGCTGGGTTTTTTTAATGCTGGCCTATATAACAAACATATAACAAAAATGTATATAACAAACCAGGCTTTTTCACAATCACATGTTAGGAGCTGAATCTGAAAAGTTCTTAAAATTTTGCATTCTAGTGATTGACGGGCCAGTGGGACATCGACTGTGGTGGAAAGAATTTCTGCCACTTTGGAGAGTCTGAGGGGAGATGTTACATAGTCATTGATGTATTCTTTAAACAAAACCAAGAAGAAGAAAATTATTTTCATTAAAAGTAATAAAATTCTTCTGTTAGTAAGAAATGCTGTTTAGACCAGAAACGAATTACTTCATAATGAGCATGAAAAAAATTGTTGACATGAATATGTTTTCACTATACAGCAACTAGTCTGTTGGGTAATAAGATGAATTGATTGTGCATTTTGGCCTTTGAACTTGAAGGGAAGTAGATAGAAACCAATGTCTTGTATCCAGTGTTCCGTTTAGTCAGCATGGTTTGCATTGATTCGTTTCAGCCCCAGTTAAGCTGGAAAAACACATTCACAGTGCACGATCTGAGGAAGGAAGACTCTATTACAATGGCGAATGGTATGGACGTGGACAAACAATATGTATTGATAGGAAAGATGAATGCCCTACAAGGTAAAGGTAGTGCATGCAGTTCTTTTTGCTATTAGTCAAAAAAATCTAGTTTGGAGCCTGTTTTATTTATGTGATATGCCATTTTCAGTATGGCATCTTGACAATGGCATAAACACATGCACACACATAATTCATATAGTATTATACCAATTGTGAGCCAGTGAATGGTAGTGAATAGAGTGTTAGACTAGAAGTCAGAGGAACTGGGTTCAAATCCCAGCTTAACTGTGGAAACCCATTGATATGTTAAAAGAGGTGGCAGTGGTAAGCCATTCTTTGAATATATCATTGACTCAAAAGTGTTGTGAAGTTTACCATAAGCCAGGAGCAACTTAATGGCACACAACAACAACAAGGTAAAACAAATAGGTACGATTTTGTACCTTTCGAATGAAAGGTAAAAAAATCACTGGAAGCCAGCAGAAACAAGCAAATGTCATACTCTTGGTAGAGAATTTTCAGGAATTATGATCTTCCTAACCACTTTGGGGCAGCATATCCCATAAAGGAAGGCATGCATATGAGTTAACCACATCTCACCCTAACATAAAAAGCAATTGCCATGACTGCTTTTAAATACGTTCTCAAGTGAGATACGGTTCTTTCTCTTTATTCCTATGTGACTCTTCCCTCTTTCTCCTGGCTATTCCTCTTCTCTGTGGCTCTCCCTCTCTATCTCCATGGATCCATTCTCATTCTTTTATTTCCCGCCCCCCTTAAAAATGGGAGCTGTTAAAAATGTGAATGCTTTGTAAACAAATGCAGTAATGTTTAGTATACTTCCAGTATCAGTGTTATAGTACTCTATTAACTATTCTTAATTTAATGAGACACTTGTTAAAATGCTTACGTGCTCTATTACCAATAATTACACTACTGTTTATAAATGGCAGTGCAGTTTAGGGTGATACTGTAGCTTTATATGGACACTAATGTGCTCCTGATTTCTCTTTCCCCCTCCTTTCTTTTCAGTGCCATAATTACAACAATTAACCATGATGAAGTGTGGTTTAAGAGGCCTGATGGAAGCAAATCTAAACTGTATATTTCTCAGCTACAGAAAGGAAAATATTCAATCAAACATAATCACAACTGACCATTAAAGCAACCAGACAGTGTTATCCTGCTTGAAGTGCCATGAGATGAAAGATGTATTTACTCTGTGTTCTCATCTATTTTTTGTGGCAGTATCTGTGTATCTGTAGTAGTAAAAGTAATTTTCATACAAATGTCTTAGAATCAGTGACACATATTCATGTTGAACATGACGTCTTGCCTCTAATTTGGATCCGGCACCTAAGAAAGAAAACAGTCTTTTGGAGAATTTGGAAACATCTGACTAAGAAGCTACAGTACTAAAAAGTGTTGTGTGTTCATGGGAGAGAAGTGTACATACAGCTGCAGAAGTCTTTTTAGTTTCTTCTGCAGCTGCTTGTTTGGCTAAATGTACAGGCCACATTTTAAATGGTAAGCGCATGGTAAGATTGCTGTTGAAAGACATTACCTGGTTTTGTGCTGGGTTCTTTAGCTTATTCGCTCACAGGCCTCTAGGAATGTGGTCTTAAACCACTGTGTAAAAAGGAAACAAAGTGGTATTTATCTTTAAAAAAAAAATAAAATAAATCAAGTCATAGTCGTGAAGCTTATCACTACATATAACAGTTCCTCTTGCATTCTAGAGAACATGTCATGCTTGTTTCGCAAAGATGTGTTAGCTTGTGCAAATGTTACTCTGATGTGTTCTAGTAGTGAAAAATGGATAACTTCAAAAACAATGCAGAAAGCACAAATCATTGTTCTAGGTCAGTTAAACATTTCTGTTATTAAAAAAACAAATTGGCATCAAGCAAGGGGTTTGCTACTAAAAAACAAAACCAAACAACCAATGGTGCAAAGTATATGGCACTATTTTCACTAGTATTACACACTCAGGTAAGAGTGCCTCATATGTAAATTGTGAAACTAACCAAAAGTATTACTGCCTATTGATTTATGTATCTGTAGTCAAATCAAGTGTAACCCTTTGAAACTGTTTCATTGAGCAAAACAACAGAAAACCATGGTATTTGCTGCTTCAGAAATGTAGGATGTCTGCATTTGTAAGCTTAGCATCAGGAGTCAGATCTTTCAGTTTTACCAGAAATGTTTGAGGCATGCATTATAAAGGGATTGTGTTTGGGCTGGGGAGAAGACATTACTTGGTGGTTATGTGCACTTTAATATCCATTAGGATGAGCCTTTGAAGAAAGCTTGCCTCTGATGGAACTGGCTGCCAAAAGTATTTTTATCTTCTAGGTTAGGTTGATGCTAAATATGGAGTCTTAACATGCAACCCTTACACTATGTTGAACTTCTGAATTAGAATCTTAATGAGTAAAAACAAAATTGCCACATTTGCTATCATAATTGTAGCTTCATACCCTGCAGACATTGTAATAGCAGGTGAGGACTGATGGGTAACTTTGTTAAGAAAACTGTAGTCTTTTTTATAGCGGAGGCTATTCTGCTTGCAATCCATGGGAGAGCCCCAGACAAGTGTAGCTGCTGGCAGTCAAGTGTTTCCTTAACTAGTCTTTTTAATTTTAGGTTAATGTCTTGGATGGGAGTAGCACTCATGGACTTGATCCTGACAATTTGCTCTTGCTTCAGAATCTTACCTTAGTGGTATTTTGCAACCTCACTAGTTCCAGCTCAGTCTAGCACCAAATACTTTACGCTGTGCAGAAAAGGACTTGTGTATGTGCTGTGTTTTGTTTCAGAATGAAGGCTTGGCAGCATTTGCCTCTAAACAGATCCACAGATAGAACACCTAGCAGTCCTCCGCTTGTCCACATAGATCCACAGATAGAACACCTAGCAGTCCTTCGCTTGTACACACACACACACACACACATACACATACCTTGCACTAAGCTGCATTACAATCCCAAGACTGAAGGTGAGATGCAGTGAATTGTGGAATGGGAGCCCATTGCTGCTGGAACTAGTTGTTACGTTCATGTTGCCCTACTTCAATGTGGCTGGGAATATTGACACATCTGTGAGTTGGAGAAGTGCAGTCCTTCACTTGCCAGTTTAATTAGTCCTTGTTATTTGGCTCAGAATAATAAACTGCTTACATATTTATGTGAAAATATATTTGCCTATATGGGAAAGGTATTTGACCATGGCCAAAAAGTCTGTATAATTCTGAAATGAATTCCTCTGCATGCCACATTTAATAGCCAAATGTATATAAAATGAAAATGACAGGTTGGCTTTTGACAAAACCTACTGTATGTAAACAGTTTGATAAGCCTTTTTTGTAATGAAATATTTGTATTTTTTAACCTATGTATAAATAAATGAATCTGTCACAGAGAATCTGAATTGCTGTACGTAATGTGTGTATGCTTTCTCTCTCTTAAATACAGAGTTGGAATGCAGTCATGTAAAGAGAGGTTTAAAATTGTGTGGCCCAATGTAGGGGACCAGTAGGTCTAATATGTGAGCAACTGGAGCAGCCTCCCCTGAAATGTTTATTTCTGAAAAAAAGGTCTAATATGTGAGCAACTGGAGCAGCCTCTCCTGTAATGTGTATTTATGAAAAAAAGTATAGGCATATAGTATATATATAGAGACATATCATAAATAAATAAATAAATAAAAATATAGTATATATATAGACATATAGTATAGCTGTGAAGCACCTAAATATTAAAATAAATGTATGTGCAGAAAGGTATCTGCGTAGCTGTAGCAGCAACAAGATTTGACTGATACTATAGAAAGAGCAATCTGAGTCCTCTTAGCTGATCAGCCTTTGCCACCAGAGGCATGTTGACTATCTTAGGCATCAGAGAAGACAAAGGGTGGCTGTTGGCGATGCTGCTTAAGAAGGTTAGAACTTGGCTCATTGGTTGTTGCAGGTTGATCAGTAACTGTTAACAAACAGCCAAAGGCTTCTATGCACAGGGCATCTGTGTGGATCATCCTTTAGACAAATCTATTTGCTTTCCTAAATTGCAGGAGGTTGTTGAAGTTTGAAAGGTTTTTTTTTTTAATTTAATAACTGGAAATGAAAATAATGAAGAATCCTGGTAAGTTTTCAAGAATTTTTCAGAAGCATGCAAAGATGAATGTAGGAGCTGTAAAGGTACTTAATTGACTCCCCGACATGTAATGGGTGCTTCTGTTTTTAGAATCTGATATAAAATGCAAAGAGCACCATTTCTTTTCACTTTGGCTAGTGTTTGTGTTATAAGCCTAACATTGTTAAGTGTTTGAAAATATACATTTAGTGTTAGTAGCTGCTGAACTGCTGAAGCACAAGTGTTTCATATTCTTGGTCTGCAACAGAAGGAACTTCAATGCAGTCCTTTTGTGCATTGCATTAGCTGCTGTCTTGCAGCAATAGCCTCAATATATGTGGCATTGTGCCAATGTCAAAAGACTAGAGAAAAACATGCTCAGTGAATTGGGAATCTGGTTGCAGAACTAGAAGTCACAAGATTAGTTCGGCACCATGCCTCCCAGGAGAAGAATCAGCCTGTGTTGCAGTTCCAGAGTCCCCACCCCACCCCCAGAAGAAGGGAATGGTAAACCACTTTTGAGTTTTATATACCTTCAAAACCCTGGGAAGGGTTGCCATGAGTCAGAATTGACTTGATGGCATGTAATTATTAATTCATGTCTACATAGCTTCTTACATACCTTGCCACTGCCTTCTGGCTCAATATGCATGCAGCCATCTTTGGCTTGAAACTATATGTGGAATTAATTGCTCTTCAATCTATATAGTAAACCAGCTGATGTGCATCAGACATAAATAAATTCAGAACTAGCATTTGATGCCATTTATAATACATATGTACATCTGAGGTGAGTAAAAGTTCTACGTTCCACACGAGTCCAACATCAGAATTGTCCTGAGTCAAGACCGTGGTATATGAAGGCAGCAATCTGCCTTTGAGAAGCAGGTGGGATTTCACACACACCCTTTAGATTATAGCATGCAGAATCCCACATCCAACATGGCTACTGGGAGTTGTACTCCTAAGAAAAAAATTTCATCTTGTTGAGAAATGCCAGAGGCTTATTAGGCATGGTATGATCATTTCTGTTCCTTGCTGATGACTTTAAAAGGAGATCAGACAAATTCATGGAGGCTGAGGTGTTTAATAGTTTCCAGTCATGACATGGTGGAGCTTTGGTATAATCCAGTGGGATTTTACGTTATTTTCCATTAATTGCACAAAAGTTCATTATATAATCCGACAATACAGAAGCTGCATTCTTCTCTGCTGTAATCTACCAAACCCATCACATTTGTAGAGCACATTTTAATGACAGCATGTGACAATCAGTCCTCTAAGGTTAATTGTAAGTGCCGAGAATATTAGATTTAACAGGCAAATGGTCACTGCTGTAAACTTATAAGTTTCTGAACAGTTTCCCAGGGCAGTCCCATGGAGTAATCCTGGCTCCAGTTTCCTATACAGGAGAATTAGCATGCAAAAAATCACTAAGAAATCTTGTGATTGATGATTCAGCTATAAATATGTCTAGCACAGAACACTACGTAATTGTAGGTTTCCTCGAAGCTGATGGAGGACATTACTTTGTAAATCAGTATATTTGCAGCCAAGGAGATCAGGAATAGGTGAACAGAATCAAAGTTGCATCCTTTGGCCTTGTATTCTTACTGTGCCAAAATGGGACTTCTGTGACTATTAGTTTGTTTCCATTAGAGCAAATATAATACTGCATTAGGTTCTTTTCATGTTTATGGATTCATGCCACATATGCTACAAGATTGCTACTAGTTTCTTGGCTGTAAAAAAACTGCAATTTGTATAACTGGCAGATGGCCCTAGTGGATACCCCAGTACAATGGCTACCATCTGTGCTGCTAAGCTAGCAAAGTCCTACTGGAGTCTGCCTTAAAATCCATGCACTGCAGTAGAATTAAGTAGAGAGGAAGCAGGGTTGATGATTGTGCCTTTGTACAGTATCTTAGCAGCTGAACAGATATAAGGAGGATGTTGCAACCTATTCCAAGTGATAAGATGATGTTGCTTTTGCTTTCACTATTGTGTCTCCTCAAGGGTCTGCTAGGGGTTACTTGGAAACATTTGCTTATTTTAAGCATTTGTATTAACTCAAGAACCTCTACTTCAGATACTACAATTGCATGTTTTATTCATATTCTGCGGAATCCTTGCAACCTGTACCCTAGAAGCTACCCCATTATACCTAGTCATCATCTTAGAACTGCAGAGCTGGAAGGGACCCTATAGATAGATCATCAAATCCAACCCCTGTCAGGGAGGCACAGTGAGGGACTCAAATTCCCAAACGCAGCCACCATAGCCAGATATCTAAACCACTGAGAACAGGGTTATGTGTAGCCCAGTACTGTATGCTCTACACCAGAGGATTAGTTAGTGGTTCAACCCTCCCCATATATTCCTGTCCACTGATTGAACCACTGCCCAGAAGAATTATGCTGATACTAATGACATAATTATGACCCCCTAAATCCTTAAAAACATGAAAGATCAAGAAGAACACTAGGCTATGTAACCTCTTTTCTCAACCTGTTCTATTACTTGTTCCAACATCTCTGCTGCATTTTATGTAAGAAGCAGCAAAGGCAGGTTTTAATATCCTATAAACTTGCATCTACTCTGAGCTAAGCAGGGAAACAGAGAAGCTCTTCTCTTCCTTTAGTGCTTTATCCATGGAGCCCATTCATCCACAGTTTAGCTGAAAATGGCTACAGCAGTAGCTCTGGTAGTTCTTCTTTTTGGCCTCAGTGAATCACACCCCGGGTGATATGCACCTGCATAGACCCTCATTGGAAAGTTCTAGAGCTTCTGTGGTAGCAAAAAACATACAGTAGTGCATCACATTACATCGTTAATTTGTTCCAGCAAAATAGCTGTAGAACGAAAATGTCGTAATGCAAAAATAAAAAGCCTATTGAAATGCATTGAAACCCCTTCAATGCGTTCCAGTGGGCTGGAAACTCACCGTCCAGCGAAGATCCTACATAGGGTGGCCATTTTTGGTGCCTGTGCAGCAAGGAATCTGTCCCAGAAAACAATGGGGAGCCATTTTATTTACCCAGTGGCCATTTTGAAACCACTGATCAGCAATCTGAAAACCATCATTTTGCAAAGAATCGTTTCCTGAAGCAGGGAACCGATCATTGCAAAGCAAAAAACCCCTATTCAGACCATCGTTTTGTGATCGCAATTGCGATCGCAAAAAGATCGTCATAATGCGGGGCAATTGTAAAGCGGGGCACGACTGTATTAGAATAAGGCTTCTCCCCCCTTGTGTAAGTACCTTGGCACCAAGACTCCCCTTTCAGTTTTCCTCTGGCCGCAGCTCCCCCCCCCAATCAAATTATTTTTCTCCTATTCATGGTCCCTTTGGGCCCATTTAAACACTGAGTGGTTTGTAATAACGAAAGACCACTTTCCAAGAGCCATGCCAAGTGTCTTTTTTGCTTGGGAGAGTCACACCAGATGTCCTCCTGCCAGCATTGTAAGAACTTCAGGCGCGGAGTCCTCTGCTATCGCCTATCCAGACTGAAACTCCGTCTTTGGGAACAATCCCTTCAACCAACCAAAATGGCCCAACCTCCTTGTAAGGCCACCTCACAAACCAAAGCAATGGAGAAGGCTCTTTCTGAAGCCTCAAAACAACATCCATCAACCACACCATCCCACTCCGACGCTCCATCCACTTCAACTAAAACTTAAAAACCCATAAATAGAAGCGCTCGATAATGAAATCTTCAATATCGAAGCCCTCCACTAAATGTCAAATGTCCACCAAAACCT